GCTGGCTTCTTAGGTACCAGGGATGCATCCATCAAAGGGTTGCCCCCAAGAGGAATATCGTACTGGGCTCTGTTTTGCAGGGTTTTGATTTGTTTTTCCTTTACTGGCTCCCTGCTTCCCCCAACCTTCCTTCCTGGAGGAATAGATTGGAGTTTCATAGTACTCTGTCCCCAAGTCCAGGATAATGCCCTAAGAGCTGCTGGCAAGAGTGAGAGGCCCTTCCGCACCGCAGCCCCCCGGCCCTGCATGGTAAATTTCCAGCTTCAGTGCTTGGAAGGAAGTCTGCCTCTGGGACAGTGGGCTAGAGAAGAACAAACTCTCTTTCGCCAAGGCTACCAAGCTCCCAGGGTTCTCCAGCCTTGTGATGTGGCCTCCTCAGCGCCTCACCACAGTGCGTAGTTGGGGGGCAAAAAACCCAGCTCTCTAGAAATAGTTGTCATCTGTTTTAACCTTCGTTACTTTAACTGTGAAATGAAAGCGGCCTGGGCTAGAGGATCAAAGTAGGACCGAAGGTGGAGGATTTGCCCCAGGGCACAAAGCCAGTGAATGGCAGCTGATTTGAATTAGAAAGTGCTGTGGGCGTGGGGGCAGGGATCCACTTGTAGATTTCCCTTCAAACAATGGGAGGCGGTTTTGTGGGCAAGTGCGAGTGCGAGCTGGGGCGCACACTAACATGTTAATCCTTTGGGAGGCCTTACAGTGAAATGAAATTGGTAAAATCAGCTTTTAAGTTATTAAGTGGGTACTTTAGACATTTACTTCTCTGAAAATTGAGTGCAAATAGTACTAGACACAGAGAAGCTATTTGTTGGATGAATTGAATGAACGAAACAATCATTGATTCAATGAATCCACAAACAGCATTAGGCATGGGGCTGTCATATCAAATCCTCTGGGACTTGGGACAAATATTTAGCTGGAAGGGGACACATGGTGATGGCCCAACCCTATTTCCCATTCACAGATGAGCTGTGCGGGGGCTACGTGATGTGACGTGAAACCTCTGGCACAAGGGTCCTGACAGGTATCAGCACCAAAATATGAGGCCAGTGTCTGCTCTACTTCCTGCCCTCTTCAAGGCAGAGCACATGAGCAAAACTTAGGAACTTGAGTTTTTCCACATTTGGACAGATGCCTAGGAGAGGATGGCAGTCCCATCCCCAGGGAGCTGGTAGCACCCTGGCACTGAATGGATTTTCCTTAAGTTCTCTCTGTTCATCTGAACTCACAGAATGTATCAGTGAGGGCTTCAGAATCAGATCCCCGAAAGTAGGTTCCAACATCACCCACTTAGAAGCCGTGTGACCTTGGGCAAGTTTTGGAGACTCTCTGTGTCTCCAGTCTCTTATCTGAAAAATGGAGAATAATGTTTCACTGAGCTTGTGAAGATTGACCCATGATAGATCCTAGGACAGTCCCTGGACAGGAGGAAGACCTCAGTTAGTGTTGGCTGCTAGTAGTCATCGTGCTCTGAACTTTCACAAACGGGCTGTACAAGGAGCTCTCCCAGTTGCCTGGGGAGTGTGTTCAAAGTGCTGGGTTCCAGCTGCCAGAGACAACCAGTTCAACAGGGGAAGGTTGAGACTAAGCATCTGATGAACAAACCCCTGTGTCCAGGTGTTTAGATACCTTGTGTCTAGCACAAGCCTTATGTAAGCAGCTCTCTGATCACGTCTAAAAAATTCAGGTTTGCACCCCTTTGCCTTGGGTTGTTAGATACGATGCCTTCCCAGCAAGTTGGAAGGCCAGGAGGGCAGGTGTCAGATATTTGGTTCCCTGGTTTCCACAGAGCTGCACCAGGGCCTGGCACACTGAAGATGCTGCATTTCATGGCCATAAATCAATTAAAATGGAAAATTTCATTCCAGGAACTATAACAACTCCTAAGGACCAGAACTCTTGAAAATAAAGTTTTCAGTTCTCAATATTATTGAGCATAAGCTCCTCAGCTGTTCCTGTGTCTTCTGCAAACTGGCTCTTACTGACATTGTTGCAGTCAGTGTGCAATGATTGTCTATAAGAGATCCCACATAATTCATCTTATAGTCTCAATGCTAGAAAAAATGTCATTCCTCCTGACAAATATATATGCTTCCTTTCATTCTGCTGTGGCAGTTTATTTTCCCAAAGACGGTCCCAGCAGTATCTACCATCCCACATGCTCTTCTACAGCATGGCCTTGCCTTTCATCCCAGTCAGAAGGAGGAATCTACTGCTCCACTTCTTTGAATCTGGGTGGGACTTCTGACCACTTTGACCAAGAGAATCTGGTGGAAGTGATGCTACAAGAGTTCTGGGGATGGCCCTTGGCTGGTCTTGCTCCCACTTCCTGCTCTGAGAAACCAGTTGTCACGTACAAATATCCTAAGATCATTGCATAGTGAGAAGTCCAGATTCCACAGAGAGATTTCATCTCTGAAGGATGAAATACTGCATAGAGAAAGAGAGAAGCAAGGAGCAGGGATGTACCAGACATGTGACTAAATCCGTCCTGGAAGTTGATCCTTCAGTTTCAGCAATCCCAGCTGATGCCCTACATATCAGAAAGGAACTTCCCAGCCAAACCCTCCCCAAATTCCTAATCCATAAAATCATGATCAAAGTCAAATAATTATTTTAAGCTACTTTGTTTGGGGTCAGTTTGTTATGCAACAATAGATACCCCAAACACATGCCCTGAGAACGCATAACCCTTATGTTTCCCTTTTGTCCTTGGCTGCTAGGAAGCTCAAAACTAGGTTACTGGCTCAATCGTAGCAACTTCCCTTAACTTGCTCTTACTCCTTTCCTCATGTATATAAACTTGATCTTTTAACCCTATGTTAATTATATTAGATTTGTATCATTTATCATAAAAACTCTCCCAGATGCTTTTGAGAGAAAAAATTATTAAGAAAGGAGGGAATGTTAGAAATGTTTCTGTTTTATCCACTGTCTTTATATATCTTAAGTTTCTCATTTGTCAAAGTTCTATTTAACTTCCAGAGCTGGACCTGAGTGCAGAAACTAGGGATGTCATCTTTTCCTACCATGATTCCATGCCTTGGCCCCAACCTTCTCTTTGGTTGGTTCATGAGTACCTCTCATTTTCAACCCTCACTTAACCAACTTTCATTTTTACAAATGGTCTCCTAATGATCAAAGAGCCCGAACAATTCAAAGAAATAAATTTCTAGTAGAGAAAGTTTAAGTTAGATAGTCGGAGAGATATGTCTAGTCAAGGGCATGGGTGTGGAATAAAGACTACCTGAGGACAGTCTCATAGGCAAACCAATCTCTGCGTGCCCTTGGGCAAATCCCAGAAGCAGAAAGGATGATGGCTCTTAAATCCTGAGCAGTCACCATGGCCAGGTATTCTACAGGTCACACCCCTTGTATAAAAATCTTTGGAACCCTCTGTAGTTTGAAAATCAAACCATTCTAGATTTTTAGAAAGGTGATATGGTACATAGAGGTTATGGGTTACCTCTCTCCCCAGGAAGTACTGAGGTATTACCCTATAATCAAACACATCAATATTTCTACAGAGAAGCGTATGAGTAGTCACAATAGCAACTCTAGATAGTTTTACATCCGTGCAGGTCAGATTGTGTTGCCAAGTGAGTTTAGATGATGTCAGATTTTACTGCCAAATGAATTATTTAAAATGCCTTAAGGTTTTAGGACATTCTAATTTGGGAGTGGTGGCTAGGGTTTGTGATCCCATACTAAATACCTTGCTTACATTTATCTCACTATTTTGTAAAATCCTCAGGTGATTAATGCCATTATTGTTCCCAATGCACAGATGAGAAAATGAAGACTCAGAGACATTAAGCTACTTGGCAGAGATCAAATGTCTCATAAATGGTAACACTGGCTTTAAGCCCAGGAGTGTCTGACGTCCAAACCTGCATGCTGACTTTCATCCTATCCTGCCTCCTCTGTTCTGTGCCACTGGTCACAGGAGAAGAACACAGCTCCTTGTGAAGCTACCTGGCTAGGCCAATGGGTTGTTACAGAAGGAAAAAGAAGAAAGGGAGGGAAGGAAGGAGGGAATATTTATCTCCCTCTTTCCATCCTTTCATGAAATTAAAAAATATAACCCTTCCTCTCCAACCCCTGACCCATAGGGAATAGCTAAAAAACTGGAACCAAAATGGCTTAGAGAAAGAGGAGAGTCTTCCAGACATGTTCCAATTCTTCCCCCGCCCCTGATTTTTGCTTATAGACATTAGACTATTATCCCACTGCTGCCACCACATGTAAAGAAATAGGTATTTTAAAACAGGCTTTGCTTTAAAAATATAAAACTCTCAAGCTTATTCCACAGTATCGTGCTCGGAAAGAGCCATGGGCTTGAGGCCCATTTGGAGGTGGCTTCCAATCTCAGCTCGGTGGTTTACTGGTTATGGGAACTGAGAGAGTGTTCTCCTCTCTGAAGACCCTGCCTAGAGAAACTGCTTCTTCCCTTCTACCTCTCGGTCCAGATGAAAGCTTGGACCTAGAACCAGCCTTCTAGATCTTCAGACAGCCCACAGAAGAGAGGCGATGTGTGCTCTGGGTGGAGGGAGAGGGGTCCTCACACTTCCCCCTGGTAATTCACTCAAAGGCACCCTACCTCTCACAGTAGTCCCCACTCTGCACCTCTCATCCCAGGTCCCACAGTCAGGGGACAAGTCTTATCTCCTCATCTGGTGTTAGACCTCTGCAGAGCTGACGGGCCTTGTGGACGCTTTTGTGCCTCGTCCTGTCAAGCAATCCCTCCTAATGAGCACTCACTCTCCAGACTTTACGCCAGAAGGAGAAAGGCCTCCATTCATGTATGGAGTCACTCTGAACCAACTTTCGAGTACTCATTATACATGAGGCATGCTAAGCATAAGGGTTCCTCTCCTTCTTCCTTCCTTTCTTTCCTCCCCTTCCCTTCCCTCCCCTCCCTCTTTCCTTTCCTTCCATCCCCTCCCCTCCCTTCCTGCTCCCTCCTCCCTCCCTACCTCTCTCCCTCCTTCCCTCCCTTCCTTCCTTCCTTCCTTCCTTCTTGTTTCCTCCTTGCTTCCTTTCTTCCCTTCCTTCCTTTTTCCTTTCCTTCCTTCCTCTCTTTCTTCCCTTCCTCTTTCCATCCATTTCTTTTTCCTTTCTTTTTTCCTCCCTTCCTTAGGCATTTACTGAGCATCTTATATGTCCCAGACAATGCACTGGGCACTCAGGATACAGTTGCCAGTGACCCAGAAAACAATTTCTATCCTCATAAGGCTTAGATGTTAAGTAAGTTGGGCATGAATACTGCCAGCCCACAGCTCACTGTTGCTGGAGGAAGCTGTCTTAAATTGCAGTGTGATATCTGGTATGAATGAAGTCACACAGGACTCTGTAGAAAGACAGGCAGCCAACCTGGTTATGAGGGTCATGAAAACTTCCTGGGGGCAGTGATATAGATATTAAAATCTGAAAGATGAGTAAAGATAATGGTCAAGAGCAGAGAAGGGTGCTTTGAGCAGAAGCAACGTGTGCAACAGAAGAAAGCATACAGCTCATGCAGAGACCCAAGAGTAGCCCTCTGGGCCAGGTCAGCAGGTTTGAGGTAGGGATTAATGGAGATTCGGCTGGAGAATTAGGAGGGGCATATCCTGCATGGCTTTTTCTTGACAGTAGGGGAGCACCACAGGCAGGTTTCAGGCAGAGGCATGAGAGAAACTGAGATGGTTGCTATGCTTACCAGGCTTCACTTGTCATGTTGGGAAAATGACTTCACACCCCTGTTGGAATGGGAAGGGGGGACCTCCTGACACCTACCTAGACCCCTGATGCCCTCGGGAATGTTCTGCTTGAACTTGCGGTTCCAAAACCAGACTGTAGGCTGCAAAGGGGGCAGTTATGCCGGAAGCTGCGGCGTGTGTGTTCCTATAATCATTAAGACCAGTTCCCGAGCTGCTGGGTAGCTAACTCTAGTTGGTGTCAGGGTAATTAACCAAACTGCCTGAACTTTATTCACAGCCTGACATGGTGCACTCTTGAGACTTGTCACTGTGGTTAGTCGGGGGGCGGGGGACTTGACACAAGGCTGATTAGGGAGTGTTTTACACAGCAAGAAGCTCTCTGATCTTCAGCTGAGCAGGGCTCCCCTCTTTCAGCTCATAGGAGAAATGCCTGCCAGGGTAGAGAATAAAAAGCATCCAGTCCAACCCCCTCATTTTCAGATGAGAGAGCAGCCATTTTGAGTATGGCCGTGGTTTTCCCAAGGCCACGCAGAGAGTTTCCTCCGCTGGTGGTATTACCACCAGCTCTTCATGGCTCCATTCTATCTTTTTCTTATTGTCTAAAAAAATGCTATTTCCTAACCAGCATTTCTTAAATTTAATGTGCATAAGAATTACTGGAGAGCTTGCAAAAATGCAGATTCTGATTCAGGAAGTCTGGGTGGGGCTGAGATCCTACATCTCTAGCAAGCTCCCAGCTGATGCCAGTGCTGCTAGTCTGTGGACTAGCTTATGCTCAGTGAGGAGCTCAAAAGACCCTTTCCCAGAGGCCACCTTTAACTTCAGCAGAATCGGCACAAGGTGCCTTAGCTTGGGGCTCACTAACTGCAATGGGACCTGAAACCTAAGACTCCTGAGATCAGAGCTGCTCTGGTTAAAGGGTTCTCAGAGGTTGTATACCCCAGCTCCTGTGCATACCTGAATCACCTTGTTCTGGTCAGGGCTCTTTTAGATTTCAATGAACTAACTTAGTTTCCTTGAATAAAGCATCGCAGGAAAGGCTGGGCAACAAATGCCATCTGCTCACCTGCTCCACTCCCCACCCTCTGAGGACCGACTTACTTATCAGGTTATTCATCCTAGCAAAAAAAATAAAGATAAAATAAAATAACTGCCACCCAGCTCCCCAAGGCTGTGTGAACTTCAAACCCCAGTGTCCACGATAGCTAGAAACTTCTCTTTCCCCCCCTTATTTCAACCTTCTGAAAGGGACAATGTGATGGATACAGTTGATCTGTTTGAGGCTCTTTTCTTCTCTGGACCTCAGAAAGCCCTGCAACAAAATGGAAAGACTTGCCCAGGTGGTCTTTCAGGTACTGCAAAGTGCTGATTCTCTATGCCTCTAAAGTGCTTTGCAACCAAGTGCTTTAGGAAAAAATACCTTTATCCTGGTCCCTGGGAAAGACATTTATACAAAGAGGTTGCATCTGGGCCTCTCCTCTCCAACTGGTGAAGTACTGACTAAATCTAGCCACATAAATGGGAATTTTAATATTTCATTTGTGGGACTGGTTCCATGAGGCCATTCCCAAAGAGTGATTATCCCAACAGGAATATGAGTACTTACAATTCTCAAGGCCCAATTCTGAAGGAGGCTTTGTAGGCATTTGATTTGGAGTCAAAAGGACTGGTTTTCCACATCACCTCTGTGGGCAAGTCCTAAAGTCTCATTTGACATGGAGAAAACTGAAGTTTTTCTTAGATCTGGTATTCAATGATTCCAATCTAATCATTATTTTATTTTAAAATTCTAATTTCTTTCTTGACTGAGTCTTGGAGTGAAGACAAAAAGTTGCTACTCCCACAACCTCCCGGGCATATCTGTGCTTACACCTTATCAGGTTCCCCAGCTCCTAGTTGCCAAGGGAAGTTTGAGTATGTTACACAGGAAGCGCCATGGTGCTCTCCAATGGGGGCTTGTTTTTCAGGTTGCACTTCAATAAGAAAGGATTTTTTTTTTTTTTAATGCCAAGATAATTTAAACCTCTTTTCTGTAACCCCTGCCCTCATGGTTCCACTGCAGCCCTGCATCTCCATTGCTATAGCACAAAATCTGAGATCAGCCGCCATGCTGATCTCAGATTTCTAGCTCCAGGACTGTGAGAAACAAATTTCTGCTATTTATGAGCCATCCAGTGTAAGGCGTATTTGTTAAAATACTACCATGATATCCTATGGAAAGAACACGTCACTAGAAAATGATACACTTTTTAGCAGCCAAGGACACGTAGGCATGACACAAACTCTTAGCACTTAAGTTTTTGAAGTCAGAAGAGGGTGTTTGAGCTGAGATGGGGCTACATGGGACCAGGTCACTGTGAGACACCTAAGGAGGATACAGACAGGGCATCCTTCCTAGACGAATGCCCATGCACAAATATGTGTAAAGTGTTCCCTGCAATTCTAGCAGCTTCCTCTCCACCCTTAGCCAACTCAAGCCTACCCGTGGACCACTTGTTATAGACTAAATGCTGGTGTCTTTTCAAAATTCATATGTTGAAACCTTACCACTCAATGTGATGGGATTAGGAGGCAGGGCCTTTGGGAGATAACTTGGTCATGAAGGTGGAGCCTCCACGAACAGAATTAGTGCCCTTATTAAAGGGACCCCATGTGAGGATATGACTAGAAGTCAGTTGTCTGCAACCAGGAAGAGGGCCCTCACCATAACCTGATGATGCCGCCATGCTGATCTCAGATTTCTAGCTCCAGGACTGTGAGAAACAAATTTCTGCTATTTATGAGCCATCCAGTGTAAGGCGTATTTGTTAAAATACCACCATGCTTCAGGATTGCGTCTCTTTGTGTCTATCTCAGCCCTATTGGATCTCAGCTGCATTTTTCACCTGAGATACTGGGGTCAGCAGCTGCCCCCCGCCACCAGAGTTATCTTCAGCAGTGCACAGGTGACGCCCACATTGGATGTCCTTGGTCTTCACAATTCAACCAGGCATTGAGTAGGTGGGAATGTGCTAAGGGAGCCATGGCAGGTAGGGTATGCTTTTGCACAAACTGACTTAGCTTTTAAACAAAACCTGCTTTGGCCAGACATTTGTGTGCAAGCATCAGCTTACAGCAGGGAACAGCACTCTGTGGGCTCACAAAAAATATATGAAGGAGGCCATATGGAGGTGTGCTGTGGCTGTGGCCTGCTGCATGGTGACAAAGGGCTGGAGGCTTTGAGTTCTGTTTGTTTTCCAAGTCCAGATGAGCAGTGAACAGGGAATCTGGAGGCCTGCTTCCTACTTCCATGTCTGACACTCTATTACCGAAGGACAAGCCTCCTGATGCCACAGGATCTCAACTTTCCTGTCTATGACACAGAGGGAGGTAGTGGATTATATGGTCTCTTGCCTCTGGCCTGAGCATGTTCTGATTATATGAAGAAGGAGGAGGCAAGACAAGATAAGAGGTCTCGCTTCAGCAGTTTCCTCCTTCAGGGTCTGGTCTGGGACTCCTGATACCCAATACCAAGTGGTCCCTCTCTCCCCCTCCCCTAGTCCTGAAAGCTGGGGCTTTGTGGCAGGTAACACAACTTGCCTTGTGTTCTGCACTTGAGTGCTCTTGAGTTTCTGCTCCCCAGAAAGATCAGTTTCTTGCCAATGTCATCACTTTTAGCCAGCGGGGACCTATCAGCGGCTCCATCAGGCACTGGGGGCCCAGACCCCCCTTGGCTTTAAGTCTGAGCCCTGGGAACACTGGGGAAACTTAATTCTCGAACACCTTCCACTCAAAGAACCACTGTTCTGCAAAACCAGTGCTGGCCCCTGTATTTCAACAGCTTTCGGGTGGGTTTCCCACCCCAGACGTCGATAGGGCCCGAAACGCCTGTGAATGTATTGACCTGACTTCACCCGCAGGCTCAGTTTCAAAGGGTTGGCTGAGCTCTGAGCCCGCCCTCATTCCATCTGAGGCTCAGCTCCTGGAAACCTCAGGCTGGATCTCAGTTACTGGGAAGCCTTGCTCTGAATGTGGGTTTTCACTCAGTGTTTCCCGATGAGCCATTTCTTGTGGCGGGACGCCCACCGCTTAGGGGAAACAGCCTTCTTTCTGGGAACTTCTTGCTTCATCTCTCCTTCTTTCTATGCCAGAGATTGCGATGAAGAGGCACACACTTAGCAGGCAGGAGAAACGGGGTGCAGTCATGCCTGCCCTTCTTTCTCACTAACACTGTGCCACCTTGGACAAGTCATTTCTCCTCGGTGGATGTTGGTTCCCCCTGAGCTTATAGCAGTAGGTCTGCCTTCCTCATTGAGGGGGATAAACAGGAAGCACCATGTAATGTTATTAGGGAACCCACTCAACAAGGAAGGAGTATTAGAGACTTTTTTGCTATTTCCCTTCCTGTGACTAAGAAATCAGCAGGCAAAGATTGTGAAAAACCAGCCAGCTCTTTGGAATTACAAATGTGCACACACCATCCCACTGAGCATCATTTTCAAAAGGCATATTAAGCAGCAGAGACCACAGGGGGGGACCCATGTAAACAGACCTCAGATCCTGGTGAAAAAGGCTCCCAGAAGCTGTCACCTACTGAGCTGTTAGGGGCTGCTCCTGCTTTCTGCCCCCGCCCCCACAGCCCTGGCTGGTGAGAACTCCTCTCTCAGGGACAGGGTTCTGGTTCATGGAGAGAGGCAGGGTCCTGTTGCCATGCAGAGCTAGTGCTGCTCCAGGTTCACAGCATGCCTTCAAGACCCAAATCTCCCAGGGCTTGAAGCTCTCCAGACTCTCACCCCCAGATACATCTCCCAACGTCATGGGTGGTACCCCATGTTTTTTCCTGTACCCCCACAGCAGCCCAGGGGGAATGTTGCCTGTGCTAGACCAGTGAAGATGCCAAAGCCCCCTGAGTTGAATGAACTGGTCGAAGATGACGTTTTCTGTTGTGATGCTGGGATTTGACTCGGCACCCTTGCTGTTCCTTCCATGCTCCCGGCTCCCTGCAGACGCACAAATGAAGACTGAAGTCTTGAAAGAAGCCAGGGCCAAGCATCATTAAACCCAGGAGTCCTGTGCTGATACAAAGCAGGGTCTCCCTGGTTGTTGAGGCATCATGGCTGTGTTGGCCGGAACCCCTGTTTGCCAGCAAAGGTTGCAGAAGCTCGTGCTCACTCCTAGGGGCCATGAGGATGCAGACAAGTGGGGTGCATTGTGTTTGCCTGAGCTGCTGTGGGCTGTGCTGGGCAGACCTCCCCTACCTCCTGAGGTGACATTCCATATGACCAGCTTCACAATCCAGCTTTCTTGATCATGGGTGAGGGGATTCCGTGGGGGTAGGGACACTGCCCAGGACTTCTAGGAAGCAGCCAGCGTTCAAGGCTCAGCACCACCACCATCTCACTGCTGTGGAAGCAAGAAAAGGAGACTATAATTCAGCCCAGGGTGGTTAATGGAAGGCTTCCCAGATGACGGACGGCAGGGAGAAGATTAATTCTGAAGCAAGAATAGATGTTATTTAGGAAGGGAAGGGCATTGAAGGCAGAGATGAGGTGAAAGACAGCATCGATCATCTACCGGCTACGAGTAGTTGAACCTGACTGCAGTTGAAAATGAAGGAAGCAGGGCCGGAAAGTCAGGGTGGGGGTGTGGATGAGGCTGAGGAGCAGGCAGAGGCCAGATTGTGGCAAGCTGAGAGTCTGAACTTGATCCTGAAGGCGGGGAGGAGTAAGAAGAGTTTTAAACAAGAAGTAGTGTGGCTAGAGGTGGGTTCTGTAAAGATCACTCTGTGGGCAGGCGCGAGATGCTCATCCCTGTGCAGGCTCTGCGAGCCAGTCTTGGTCCTGTGAACCGAGGTGTCCCTCTAATGAAGTGCTAATTGCAAACCGGTCAGTCACACTCTGGGATGTGCTGGCCCCAACACCCAGAGTTCAGCTCTGTTCCTGTGAGTATGGGTGCCTACCAGGAAGTGGGGCTGGCCTGTCTTCTCGGAAGAAGCAGCAATTAAAATGCAACCCTGAGACATCAAGGACTCAGCCAGCTCTGTTTATTTTTATATACTGATAAAATCCTCAGAAAGGGAAGCCAAGCTTTTCAGAGCAGGCTGCTCACGCCCACCCAGCTTGCTGTGGATCTGCAGGGAGCCCCTGCTCGGAGGGGCAGTCAGTGGCTGTGTCAGTGGGTAAACATGAGCTGGTCTGAGGAAGTGGGCACATGAGGCAGAAGGAGTTCTGAACATGGCTGCAAAGCCCCAGGTCCCAGAGCTTCAATTGCAGCCGGAGTCAACTCATAGAGCATAGAGCACCTACTGTGTGCAAAGAGATCTTTTGAGAGCCTTGCTGCAGAGTCAAGGGACTGTCAGGAAAGGGAAGGGCCATTCTGCTGTTCATCCTGTTTGGATGGGAAGACCAGCTGAACTTCTCACTGTGGGTCAAACTAGGTCTCTCTACACACATTTTATAATAAATTCTGCCCCTGAAATTCCCATTGGAGGAACCAAAACATCAGATCCCTATCCCCCCTTACCCATTTCTTACTAGAACAGGAGTTTAGGATGCCCAAGCATGGGAGGCAACTGCTTAGTGGCCCCCAGGACCCCTGCCTTTTAGCATTCAGCCCCGGATCGGTATCACATTTGGTTTGTGTGACTGATTGCATCTAGCAGAAGTGTGGCATGTCACTCCAAGGGTGGGATATAAAAGACATTGGTGTCTTGGTTGTGCTTGCTGTCTTGGGTCATTTGTTCTGGGGAAGCACGCTGCCAGGTCAGAAGCATGATGGAGAGCTCACATCATGCAGACAGACGCCTTCTGCCAACAGCCATGCATGAGCTAGGATATATGTGCCCCAGCCTCATTAAGCTTTTGAATGCCTATAGCCTCAGGTGACATCTTGACTGAAACTTCAAGAGAAAGCCTGACCCAGAACCACCCAGCAAGGTCCTTCCCAGATTCCGGACTCTGACCTTTAACTGTTTTCTGACCTTAAAACTGTTGTTTTAAGCTGCTAAGTTTTGGGGTAATTTGTTACACAGCCATGGGTGACTGATACACCATGGTAGACATTGTACTATCTAGAACACATATAACATTGTACTATCTAGAACACACCAACCTTGTGATCTCGGGCAAGTTACTTCACCTGAGTGACTTAATCTTCACATCCCTAAAATGGGGGTAGTAACAGTGGCAACCTCATTTGCTGTGACGATGAGGTCAGTGAACGGTGCATTAATTCGGGTCCCAGTACATATTAAGTGTTCATTAAACAGGACTGAGCATCAACACCATTTTTTTCAGCCTTTCCTTCCAGCTATAACAAACTTCTTACAGATCTACAAACTTAGGACTCACACCTTTTCCTAGCTCTGGGTTTTGCTGCTTGTCCCTGTGCAGCCGCTGCTGCTTCTGGAGACATTTCCCTCACCCCTCGACCCGTCATCCTCACCTGTCTGGGTTGCTCAGGTGCCTGTTTGCTCTGGGAACCAGTTCCTGTAGGCAGAGATGATCATTCCCTCTGGGCTCCCGCTGTACCATGAAGATTGTCCTGGTCTTTCTTAATTATGTTTTACTGTCATTTTTCTGTGGTCCTTTGTGTCCTAAGGGGGATGCAGATAGTAGGCATTCAGAAGTGAGTTGCACCAAGGTTCTGCTGGATTTATACAAGAATGTCCTGCAGGGAGGAAGGCCAGCCTTGCTGCTGACCAGCCATTCACTGGCAGCCTCTGGCAGCTGTAAATAGTCAAATCCTCATTCGACTTGCATGTATTTTTCACTCTTTTATATTTCCTTTTGCCACCACAGGAAGCTCTTACTATTTTATTTAGTTCCTTCTTGAAGCATATCTTTTCACTTTTATTTTATCCCCTTTCATAATTTTGTCTTATTCTTTAAATAGAAAGTATCTGTATACTTGAGACTAGAAAAGCAGACATTAATAAAGGAGTTGACATAACTTTATTTCCGTTAATCTGGTTCTGGTTAATCTCTTCACTCTGAAGTTCATTAAGTGTCGATAAAGTGGAGACTCTTACCCTGTTCTTGCCCTCCAATACAGAGAACACTGGGCAGTGGGGCCACATCACATGGCTTCTAAACTTCAGACAACTCTGCTTCTAAGAGAGGAGGGAAGCCCCAGCACCAAGAGGCATGACCTCAAATACACCCCAGTCTCTGTGTTCCATAAGGGACCTAATGTTCCATAGCAAACAGGGATGCCAGGAATTACCCAACTTGGACTTTAGCCCGGGCACCACCTCTAACTCACTGGAGACATAGAACATATCACCCGGCCCTCAGGACCCTCAGCTTCTTGGTCCTGAGGGGACCAATGGCACACCCTCAGGGGATTCATTTGCCCAATAATTCTTGGGTGCAGACACTAAGCCACACTCTGTGCTGGGTCCAGTGTCTGCCTAGAAATAAGCTGTTCCCTGCTCTCCAGGGGCACTCAGCTGAGCGAGGAACAAGGTCTACATTCAGGTCCTGGTGACTGCATGGACAGAGAGATACAGAGGGAATGGGAGAACAGGGAAGAAGAACAGCTAGGCAAGGCTGGGAGCACTCTGGGAAGGCTGCAAGAGGAGGCAGCACCGGAGCCGATGGAAGTCTTAGATAAAGATGAGGAAGGCATGATGGAGGCAACCCAGGCATGGGGCTGAGAAGTAGTAGTGCAGATTCCTGTGTAAGTAGGCTCCTGTGCACGTGGCGTAGCTAGGGGATGAGACATCCGGCAGTTTGGGGTTCTAAGTACAGAAAGCATGGAGCAGGAATAAGGAGATGGGTTGAAGGGGGAGCTGGAGAGCCTGGCATGAGCCAGGCCGTGGAGGAGAAATACAACACGTCTGAAAACGCTTTGTAAACTCTGAAGACCTTGCACAAATGTGAGGGCCATCTATTGTTTCAGGACACTTAGCTTTCCAGCTGCCATAGCCCGTCTTTACAGAAAACATGCTGAAACCAGCGTCTTTTTTTTTTTTCTTAAATGATCCTCCTTTCTACAGACTTGCAGAGTACAATCAAGTATGTGACTGTTCACGTGTTGTCATATAATCAAATGATTGGTGATTTTCTTTTTAATTTCCCTTTCTTCACCCAGTTGTGTTTCTACTGATTTCTCATTGCAGGAACATAAACGCGGTGTCTCCGTGTTTTTAGGAGTAAATTGGGAAGTGCTCACTTAATTTCTCTATCCAAGAAACAAAATCACTTCTCCCTCCATGCAATCCTGCAATCCAATCACCTGCGGCAGGAGATGAGGAAGGAAATTACTCTGCTTTTCTTTTGCTTTTTTCCTAACTAGTGGTATTTGAGAAAATTAAGTATGTTTTATTTTATATTCAGGGCCCCGATCCTCAGACACACTTGGGGACTGAAATAGGAGAATGCCGGTTGTTTATAGAAGCAAATATTTCATCGTATCCCTCCCCAGCCCCTATGAATGTCTTCGTAAATGAAATAATAGATTTTGTTTTGACACTACCTTAAATATTTCCACTAAGGCAAGACTCAGCATTGCAAATAGTCCCTGTTTATCACAACTGTGGAGATTTCACTTTTCTGGGTAGGACTGTGGAGCAGGTGGCCTGGTCTTAGGGTTCCAGTACCCTTTGCCTAAGCCCTGTCTTTGCTCATGGTATGATCTTGGGCATAGACTCCCAGCTTGGATGGGGGCAGCTGTAGGATGATAGAAAGGGAATTGGGGCTGGGCGCAGTGGCTCATGACTGTAATCCCAGAACTTTGGGAGGTCGAGGCAGGCAGATCACCTAAGGTCAGGAGTTTGAGACCAGCCTGGCCAATATGGTGAAACCCCGTCTCTACTGAAAATACAAAAATTAGTCAGGTGTAGTGGTGGGCACCTGTAATTTCAGCTACTCGGGAGACCGAGGCAGGAGAATCACTTGAACCTGGGAGGTGGAGGCTGCAGTGAGCCAAGATCATGCCATTGCACTCCAGCCTAGGCAACAAGAGTGAAACTCTGTCTCAAAAGAAAAGGGAGACGGGGAATTAGACATGGAGGCAAATAGAGCAGATTGGAATTACGCTTCTGGTGCTTACTAGTGATGTGATTTGAGGCAATTTACTGACACTTTTAAGCCTTGGTTTTCACATTTTGTTACGTGGGGTGCCCGTCCTGCTGGACTATTGTAGAAAGTTTAAAAATGTGATGGCATATATAAGGTGCTGAGATAGTGCCCAGTAACTGGTGTTGCTATGTGCAATTGCATGGTTTCTGTACTGAACAAAGATGCCAGCCAAGGGGTAGATGGAGCTGACACCCTGCTTTGCTTTTTTTTTTTTTTTTTTTTTTTTTTGAGACGGAGTTTCACTCTTGTTACCCAGGCTGGAGTGCAATGGCGTGATCTCGGCTCACCGCAACCTCCGCCTCCTGGGTTCAAGCAATTCTCCTGCCTCTCCTGAGTAGCTGGGATTACACGCATGTGCCACCATGCCCAGCTAATTTTTTGTATTTTTAGTAGAGACGGGATTTCACCATGTTGACCAGATGGTCTCAATCTCTTGACCTCGTGATCCACCCGCTTCAGCCTCCCAAAGTGCTGGGATTATAGGCGTGAGCCACCATGCCCAGCCCTCCTGCTTTGCTTTTCTAACTTTCTGGTCTGCCATATAGAACCCTTAAAAAAAATAATCTGCCCAGAGGAGAGCATTTGGAAGAGTCATCCTGCAGAGGTGGAGTCTCTTTGCAATTCACATGTAAGTGAATTTCTGGGAGAGAGGGCCCTGAACACAGGGAGAGAAATCTTCACCCCACTCCATTGGATTTGACCCCACCATCCTCCTATAAAAAGGCATACAGCCTCAGCTATAAATCTGTACAAAAGCAGAGATGGCACCATGTCCTGAAGCAGCACAATCATCTCCACATGACTCTGTGAAAAGCATTGTTTAATGTTTGAGCTGAAATCTTCCTTTATGCATCTTCTCCTTGGTTATCTATGGACTCTTTGGAGCCCTCATGAGCAAGTAAGTCAGTAAATACCAAGTGCTCATTGGCTAATTTATTAAATAGCATATTGCTTAGGTTAGGCTAGGTTTCTGTGCTGCAAGAAAACAAGCTCTGTGACTTAGCACAGCAAAAATATATAATGTGAGTTCACTACCAGTAGGGGAGAGGAGAACTTCTGCAGGCCCCAAACCCACAAAGACTTCACTACGTGGAAGAGTGTCATCAGTCCTGGCAGTGAGTGAGAGAGAGAGACTGGAGAATCTAGTATGTGCTTTTCCCTGAAGCAGCAGAAGGAATGTATTTCACTCTGGCTGACATTTCACTGGCCAGTCACATGACTCTGCCTATATATAAGGGGTCTGGGAAATGTGGAGTAACAAATGGATAGTCCAGTCAACATCGCTATCTCTGCAACTCTCAGAACAGTGGGCTGATTCAGTTAAGGCCATGCACAGGGTACTGGCCTCCAGTATACTGGGTAGATATGGGCAAGCCCCTTTCCATTGCGAGGGCTCATTTCGCCCATGGGGAAAATGAAAATATGAACTACCACGTTGACTACAGATAGGGAATGGGACTTGGGTGTTCCACAGGCCCTAGCTCTCCAACACTTCCTCCGTGGGTTTGAGGCATTTGAAAACACAGCTGGGAAAGACCCCAAAGCATACAGGGACATGTGAGAATGAGAAATCCATCTAAGAAGCCAGACCCCCTTTTCAAATGTTTAGCTCTAGAGCCCTCCAAAGCAAATTATGAGTGCGGAGAGAGAAGAGGGTCTTTCCGCTCCTATTTCACCAGAGCCTGTGATGCCCACAGCGTAGCTCCACTTTTAACAGTGCCTGGGGTGGGTGGAAGGGCCTGGTCTGTGACCACAGAGAGAACTTTTGTCTCCCCCGGGGTGTCCAACCAGCCTCTATCCTGAGGATTACCATAACTTTTAAATAAGGCAAAGTTTCCAGGGAGTTTGGCCTTTTGATGTGGCAGCTGTAGCTGGAAAACAGGCCTGCTCTGCAGACTTTACTGCCTGCCGATAGCCCAGGAGCCGCCACCCACATCTCAGAGCCCACACCCCATAAACAGCCCAGATCATGTGTCTTTAGGGCAGGGTGCATGAGAGGGGTCGGGACCACCATGATGTGAGAGGACTGCCTTGGCTGATAATCTCACAGGGCCTGGACCACCCCAGGTCCCTCACAAAATGGGGGTAGGGGTTTGAGATGGCAGAGGAATGAATAAGGTGATCTTAGATACCCATGGCAAAGTTGTCAGTCTTGACCTCCATGTCCTACAATACCCAGGCAAGAATGGAGTGGGGAGGGGGCTGGAGCCAGGAAGTCCCTGCAGCATCTTCACACCAGAGTATGTGTCTGCTTCCTCCAGGCAGCGGGAAGTACAGGGACCTGCCTCACTCACCTGTGATGCTGACAGAACTGAAAACTGTCCCTCTGGGGACAGTTACCGACAAAGCACACTTTGAGCCTGTCGCTTCATTTGTATTGGACGTCTATTTATTGAGCCTCTACTGTGTACAAGGTATGTGTCTCAGGCACTGAGAGCTCAGCAGTAAATAGTAACCCCTGCCCACAGACCTGCTCTTCTGGCTTAGGGTGTTTATGACATCACTGAAGTTTATGACATTGATGGCACCCACCAGGATTCATCCAAGTCACACAGCTAATGTAGGGCAAAACTGAGATGAGAACTTGGGCCTACAGGTTCCCATGAGGGCAGCACTTTTCAAACTTTCTCACTGAAAAATCCCTAATAGGGTGTCTGGGGGCAGGGCCCCAACCAGCCAGATGCAACAGTGACATTTCTTTGATATTTCAATGCTTTACTTGAAAAATTTATATGAATGTTGAATTCTGTACCATGTTATGTCCATAGTTGTTTTACTATAGTGTAACAGTGTAAGTTACTTAATATATATGTATCCATTAAAAAAAGTGTTCGCTTCATTCATCCTGCATCTCTGTATTTCTCTTGGCACACAGACACGTACTCTTGGTGACCCTCAGTGCGGGAAGCACATTGTGAGCTCACACGAACTCTCCTAAATTGCCACTGGGCCTATGGGCCAGCTTCTCTTTGCTGGTGTTCTCAAATGAGTTATAGCATACACAAAGTTAAAAACAAATGATGAACTAGGAAAGAATATTTGCAAATTATATGGCCATGATCCCTCAAATACATAGCATACAAAGCAATGGGGAGGAAACAAGACCAACAGTACAAGACCGTTGACAGCCATTTATGTGAAAGGATATACCAATGGCTGTTAGACATACAAAGCTCTGCTTCACCTAATTCATAATGAGATAAATGCACATTTCAATCATGCTGAGATGCTCATTTTTACCTATAGGGCTGGCAAAAATCCCAATGTTGGTTATCACGTGGTGTTGGGGAAGTGTACAGAAACAGTCGAGCCCATTCATTGCCACTGCTCCAGGTCTAGAGTGGCTCAGGCCCTATGGAGAGCACTTGGGCAATATTATAGAGAAAGCACATTTATAAACAAGGTGCTTTTATGAGGTGAACCCCTTTGTTTTGAGTGTCATTTATGTATTCAGCACTGGCCAGAAACTTCATGGGAATAATGAGGCACTTGCACAAGGCCTGCCCCCAAGGAGTTTGTGACCCTGCCTAGTGGCACTGGAGACAGGACATAGTAAAAATAAAGATATTTTATATCTCTCATTTGTCAAGAACCTTCAAATGTAATAGGTCATTGAGCATCACAGCAACCCTGCAAGGTAAGTATTTTTATTTCTATTTTCCAGTCCAGAAAGCTGAAGCAGAGCATAATTTGCCCAAGGTCACACATACAGTAACCCTAGAGCCAGATGAAGAAGCAGGAATTTCCATGCACTTTCCGCTGAGGCCAAGCAGCCGGCTCACGGGGGAGTGTGGCCTCTAGTAGCACCAGATTGTGTGCATGACATCCAGAGAGAGTTCCAGGGAGTGGGAACCAGTGCAGGTGCAGGTCACTTGAGTCTGGCCTGGAGGCCCAGATGGCCTATGCATCACTCTTACCTGGGTTCAAGGTTTGGTTCTATTACTTACTATGTGTGTGACTCTGGATGAGCAGCAAAACCTCTCTGAGTGCTATGCTATTTTTATGTAAAGTACAGGCAGTAATATGATTTTTGTGGGGATTAATGAATATTTTAATAATAGTATCTTTAAAGTACTTAGCCTATTGGCTGCTACACAGTTTGCAGTAGCAGTGGTGATGAAGGAAGAAGAGGAGGTGGAGACAGAGGAGGAGGAGGAGCGGGGGGGGGAGGAGCAGAAGCTGGGGGTGGTGATTAGGCTTCATGAAGGGGGGCGGTCTGAGCCTTGAAGGATGGGTAGAATTCACACTGGGATGCAGGTGTGTGTGTTTGCATATTAGAAAAAAGGTTCTCCTCTGAATTGGGTCCTTGATGTATCCCAAACCCAATTCAAAAGTGAAAGACGTCTGTTTGATGGCAGTGTTTCTGAAAAGGTGGTGGTGGGTTCATAGGCTGGCCAAGGAGCCACCATGTTTCAGGCCTGCAGGACTGAGGCACTCAGAGCTGACCGAGCCAGACCTCTGCTTTCCACCAAGTGGGACTGTGAAACACTCACAGTAGCTCAGGCCACCAAGGGTGCAGTGGAGGGAGTGACTCACACAGAGGGAGCAGCATTTTTGCCCCAGCCAGATCACAGTGCACCCCTATTCTCCCAGAGCCCAACAGTTGAACTATTTAGAGGGAAAATCTCATTCACGTTGGGAGAAGAGGGAAGATACTTTTCCTCATAACTTGCCATAGAGGGTTAAGCACTAATGGAATTTGAGGTTTCTGGTCAAGCCCCTAGAATCTCACAGCCCCTGAAACTCCATCTAGAGGTGAACTTTTAACTCCCAGAATGATCCCAGAAAGCTCTTTTCCCTCCCCCTCTCAGCTGCCAAAATGACTCCCCAAGTCTGCCCTCCGTATAAAAACACAATAAAACCTTATACAATCAGGAAAGTATTCAAGGCTCATAATAAATAATTGCCCTGTGACTGGTGGATTGGATCTCCGGCACGCCCTCAACGGGCCTTTTTCTTTAACAGAACAAATAAAAGGAACAGATGCAGGGACTCCTCTGCCAACAGCACGTGACCTCTCCTTGGGGCCTGGAGGGTCACAGGGGAGCAGCCTCCCAACACTGGACACACAGGAATGGCAGGACAACACCCGCCCCAGAATGCTGCTCTAGAGACACGGGAAAATCTTCAGCAACAGCAGTGCTTTCTTCCCGCGTCCTCATGGCCTGTCTTCCTCTTTTGCTGCTAAGGGGGTACGTCCACAGTAAGAAGACTCACCATGCCCCAGTGGAATCCCGGCATTCCCTGTTGTGAACTGCGCCTGTGAGGGATCCAGGTTGCAAGTCCCTTATGAAAACCAGCTGACCAGCCTCATCAGCTCTCCCATGCCCCCAGCACACGTGCTCCAAGGGCACTACCCTCTTTGCTATCTTCCATCTCACCCCTATTTCTCCTGCTCCTTTTGTCTCCTGCTCCTCTCTCTCCCTCTCTCCCCGTCTCTCCATCCTTGTCTCCCTCCCTCGTTAGACTGTAAGCTCTTCACAGGCAAGGCCAGCCCTGATGAAGCTCCATGTTCTGGCACAACTCCTTGATACGAGAGGAAGCCAGTAAATGTCTGCCAGATTAAAACATGAACTAGAAAACACAGTTTGTTGAAAAACAGGAAGTGAAAGGCCACCTTACCAGGTACCTTTATGTTCTCTTCAAGACTGATCCTAGTGCATTTTGCTGCTTCGGATGTCTCTGCTTCAATTCTCCAAGTGTTTCCTGACAATGGCTGCTCTGCCTGGCTCCTCTGAATACAGTCACGTGACACAGAGCCCAAGGCCTTTCCTATGCTGTGCTAACAGCACGTGGTAGCTGCAGGCCTGTGTTGGCTCTGCACAGCCAGCATCCAGTCTCCTTCCTATCTGAGCACCTCGGGCTCCTCTCTGGGGCCAGCCCCTACCCCTGGCATGCAGTTCTGAAGCTTTCCTGACCTCTCCAGCACCCAAGCCTCCACCCAGCCAATCCCCATATTCTCCCAAGAAATTCACATCTGCTTGCTAATGGCAAATAGGCAGAAACTGACTGAGCTGGCAGTGGCGCTTGGATAAGATTGCCCTTAGGTCGCTGCACACCCACACTGGAGTGGCCCTGCTCCTGCCCTCTGAGAAGCCTGCCACATCAGTTCTTCCCTCTGTTCTTTCCATCTAATAAGTTCCCTTTGATACTTAAGTTATCTGGAGCTGGCTTCTGGTGCTTAGAACCCAAATATCCTAAGTTCAGATTTCTTCACCTTGACACTACCAGCATTTTTACTGGGTAGTTCTTTGCGGTGGGTATCTCACTGCTAACCAGCATGGTGAACGACCAGTGGATGCTGGGTCTCCTTGATGCCATGATGCAGCCAGAGCTCCTATGCTAGGGTTTCTTAGCCTTGGTACTATCAGTATCAATAAGGACTTAGCCTTGGTACTACCAATACCAATGCTATCATTTTGGACTAGATGATTCTTTGCTGTGGACACGGTTCTGTTCATTGCAGGATGTTTATCAGCATCCCTGGCCTCTATCTACTAGATCAGAGTAGTTCATAACCCCTGGGGTTATGAACTGGTACTGGTCAGTGGTCTGTAGGAAAGGGCCATACAGCAGGAGGTGAGCAGCCAGTGAGCGAGCATTACCGCCTGAGCTCTGCCTCCTGTCAGATCAGTGGTGGCATTAGATTCTCATAGGAGTGCAAACCCTGTTGTGAATTGTGCATGTGAGGGATCCAGGTTGCAAGTCCCTTACGAGAATCTAATGCCTGACGATCTGAGGTGGAAGTTTAATCCCGAAACCATCTCCCTCAACCCCATGGAAAAACTGTCTTTTACAAAATCTGACCCTGGTGCCAAAAAGATAGGGACTGCTGCACTAGACGATAGCTGCACCCCCTACTTGTAACAGATGTATCCAAACACAGCACAACTTTCCCCAGGGAGGTAAAACCACTGCCATAGACTGATTTAGTGGTTGAAAACTAGCGTCCCTAAATGGAAGTGGTGGCTGAGTGCACATCATTTGGTATTAGGCGTTGAATCAGCAGTCAGGGGACCTGGAGTCACCTTGCCTTCCTTTACTTTGCCTTCCCCACTTGCTCCACCTTCCCCCCAGGACCAAACCTGAGCCAGAGTGGGGGCAAGCTGGGAGAAATCCAAAGGACTGCACGACGGCACTGGAAGATCCATTACCACGTCCCAATGAGTCCTTACTTGTCAAAGAAGTTAAAACCTGTTTCTTGGCCATCTGGCTGAACTTGCTGATAACTAAGGCAACTGAATAAATACCCAGACCAGTGAAGTCTGTCTGAAGTATCCACATTTCACTTATATTGGGTGGCATTCTACAGACAACAGTGAAATTGTTCTTGCAAAGACAAACCTGTCTTTCTTCCATCAAGTGCTCTTTCTGCCATAATGACCAGCATGGTGGCGTGGGAGGAGAAACAAGCTGAAATTATAAACCTCAGAGATACGGAGCTCAGAGGCTGCCCTTTCAGACAAAGCGAAGCTCTGACCCCTTCTCACACTTCAAATGGAAGCCTCTTTGAGCCCGGATCAGATGCCAGTGGATGCTTTGTTCTCCCCTTCTCAGGCCCCAGTTGCTCACCTTGGAACTTTCTGAGGCCAGTTAGGTGCAGGTCCACCAAGGACATCTGGCTGGTGTAGTTCCAAACAGGTAACTCTTAAAATCCTGACCTTTGCCCTCTGTGCTTTAGCCGCTCTCAGGTGGGGGAGGAAGGGCGTTGAGTGTAGCCTGGACGTCGGGA